CCCCCGAGCAGTCTTGGCGGGCCTCAACGGGCCCCCCGAGTAGTTCAGGGAGGGAGGGAGGAGGAGGAGGAGAAGGAGGGAGGAGGAGGGAGGAGGAGGAGGAGGAGGAGGAGGGGGAGGACCAGCGCGAGCGAGCTCTCCAGCGCCCAGGGCCTCCGCCCCGTGTGCGCCTCGCGCGCACGCGGCGCGCGCGGTCCAGGGCGGTCCCAGTCCAGGGGCGCCGCCGCAGGCGGCGCCAAGGTGTTGGGCCCGCCCCAGACTACTCGGGGGGCCTGCTGATGCCAGCCGGAACTGCTCGAGGGGCCCGCTGCGGCCAGCTGGGGTCACCTGGGGGGGGGGCGGTCTGGGCGCAGCCCGGAGCCTCATCACTCGCCGCCGTCTCTGGTGCCGCACCGGAGCCTCTCTCCCGTTACACGGTGCTCACGGGCGGCCTTCTCCAGCGCCACGGTGGCCTTCACGATCGCGTTGATGTTGGCGACGAACTCATCCTTCGCGGCGACGTATGCGGCGTTCTCTTTCTCCCGGATCCCAGACGCCTCCGCGATCGCAGCCTCGGGGGAGCACTCATGATGTACACTACATCTTCATGCACGTGCGCATACATAGACTTCCGCAATCGCAGCTACACATGTCATTGCGTCCTCCTCCTCCTCCTCCTCCCCCGCCTCCTCCGCCTCCTCCTCCGCCTCCTCCTCCCTGCTTCCTCATCAGTCCTCCTCCAATACATGTTGATGTATCTTCCGCGATCGAAGCCTTGGCGGCAGAGCGGTCCTCCTGGTCTTGCTTCAGACCCTCCTTCGTCTCAGCGAGCGTTGCCTCGGAATCTTTCAGTTCGCTGGCGAGCTGGGGGAGCTTCGTCTCCGCGTCGCCGATGCTCTTGGAGAGGTCGCCCGATCCCGTCTTGCAATCCACTGGCCAGCGCTTGCTGGCGGCAGCAAAGAATGTGACACAGCAGACGCATACGATAAGCAACCGTGCCATGAGACATCTGTTGGGCACATCCTTCGTCGATCCCTGAGGGTGCCAAGGTCCCCTAGGGCTTCTGTGGGTCCCTGGGGTCATCGGTGGAACAGAAATGTCCGTGGGGCAGTGCTGGCAGGCCAGTGTGTTGCTTGACGCTCCTAACGTACGCTTGGCTGTCCTCCTCCCCCTGGCCCCTCCCTTTGGAATTCTAAGTGCAACTTTAATGATCTCATCGCCCTACTCCCAGGCACATCAGGGGCTCTCTCTCTCTCTCTCTCGTGCTCTCTCTCTCTCTTTCTATATCTCTTTCTCTCTTTCTATATCTCGCTCTGGCATCGAAATGATCCACCATGGCTCCCAAATCGCCCACGAAGCTTCCGCGGCAGCTGACGTCCCAATGTGCCCAACATTGCCTCCCGGATGGTCCAGGATCCTTTCAGAGGGCCCTTGGGGGCGCCACGAAGGCTCCTAGCAAAATGCGGATCCAAAAAAGTCACTCCTCGTCGTGGGTGACCCTCCCGTTCCTTCTCTCCGTCCTTCCTCCTCGTTCTCTGGATCATCTTGCTGCTGCTGCTGCTGCTGCTCCTGCTCCTCCAACACCTTGCCCTCTCAGGGGCGCTCGAGAAACCCAAGACAACAACGCGAATCCCCCCTCCAAGGGGGCAGGCGGAACGGCGTAAAGCTGAAAGCATAACAGCTAAACTTTTCGAACAGCTCGGATTCGCGCTCCCCCTCTTGGGTCACCTATGGGCAACCGCATGCTCACGTGCTGCCAACCCCAGCCCTGCGGGCCATCTTTTCAGACCACTCCGCGGGAGGCTTCAGAACCCGAAGGACGTCCACAGCGTGGGCCAACCCACAGCCAATCGGGGCATCAGCGCTGCCGTCCTGAAATTCCCGTCGGGCTCCAGCTGCTGGGCGGGACCCCACTCCGACGCTCCCCGTGACACAGAAGCAGAGGAAGAGCACTGGAATCGCATCCGCCACCTCCCCAGAGGCACGAAGCGTGGCACAAACGCACAGGCTTTCGGAGGTCCGCGCGGATGTCTTGGATGAAGGGGCCCCAGGACACACAAATAAATACACACAAATAAAAATATGCCCCATTTTTTCTTATATTTTCTGGGTTTCTGTCTTCCCCCCACTTCCCATATTTTCCAATATTTTCTAGGAATCGAGGATTAATTGTGTCTGTGTGTTTCTTTTCCTCCTGATTGGATCTGCGCTGACGTTCCCCTCCCTGGCGCGCGGAGGCGCCGCCAGGGGCGGCGCCCGGAGGCGCCGCCGGGGGAGGCCGGGCGTCCACCCGAGAAATCCGGGCGGCGGGTCGAGCACTTGCCCGTACACCCTGCGAAATGCTTAAGAAATCATGGGTTAAGAAATTCATCGTCTCAGACCTTGAACAAAAACCCAACATTTCCATTGAAATCTTAGGATTTACATTGAAACGTTAAGAATAATCGAGACTCTGGCCGAAAACGTAAGTTTTCTTAAGCATCGCCCAAGGTGTATGCCGCTGTCTGGGTTGTGCAACAGGCGGGGAGCAGATGCCCGGAGCGCACTACCACCTGTCCGGCGCCGCCGCCCCGGCCAAGGGCCAGGGGGAGGGGGGGGGGGAGGTCAAACGCAGAGCTTGGGCAGGGACGCTCTCTTGTCTTCGACTCTTCTCGCACGTGCCGGGTGGGCCTTCTTCTGCATGGCCTGGAGCATCTGGACGACCTTGCGGACGGGGTTGGCCTGGGCCGCCGCGGCGTCGCCCGCCGCCGCGCCGGCGGCGAGGATGGCGAGGACCAGCGAGCTGCGCATGGCTGCGCAAGTGCTTGCCGCGGCTGCAGCGGCGCGCTGCCGTGCTTGGGTGCTCGTTCTGGGGGCCGCCCTGCAGACGCTCGCGCTACTCTTGAGTCGAAGCTGCGTCGGACGTCCGTCGATTGGAGTCGACCCTGAGTCGAACCTGAGTCGAGCGAACCTGAGTCGAGCTTGAGTAGAACCTGAGCCGAAGTGGGGTCGAACTAGAGTCGAGCTTGAGTCGAACCTGAGCCGAAGTGGGGTCGAACTAGAGTCGAGCAGATCCGTCCGTTGGGCTCCAGGAAGGTCCCCAAAACGAGCACCTGACAGTGTGAGGCGGGCGGTGCCAAGGCGCTTCGTTCGAAGTGGCTCGCCCCCGAGAATTGCCATGGAGCAGGATGAGGGAGGAGAGAGCCCTCTCACGGCAGGCTCGTGTCGCGCCGACTTCGGCGCTGGTTCCCCATCCTGCGGGGATCGTTCAACCTTGAAAGATCGGCGGTTTCTGAAGCGTCGGATCGTTCAACATCGATCGATTCTGGGTTGCCAGCGGCGTTCAACGTGGAACGCCTGCCGCTGGGTCGCCACCAGTCGACACGATGCGAACCTAGCGTATCGACCATGTCCTCGGCTCAACTCCATTGCAGAAGTCTGGAGAACAGCAGAGAGAGAGAGAGAGAAAGTACGCTGAGACGGCCTCACGGCATCACAAATCAGGAGGAACGCCACCACGTGTTGGAGGAGACTTCAAACGTGACGTGCACCTTGAGGACGGTCTTTACCGCATGTTCTCTACAGTATCGCACAGGCAGCCCTGTGTTGTTTAGAGTCCACGTGGCCACTCTCCCTGTTCTCCTTGGAGTCCACGTGGACGCCCATCGTGTTGTTTGAACTACGGGCTCTGATACAACTTGAGGGTCAAAGTATGAGCGCCCTCGCAATCATAATCCTTCCCAACAACTGTGTTTAGTATGTCTCTTCGAGCACTCAGGGGCACGCATCCCCCCTTTTCTGCAAAAAGCAGTGGAATGGACCCGCGCTTTCGAGGCCACGACCCCTGGTGAAAACTCGATGGGTTCGCTGTTGCCTGGGCGAGTGCTGGGTTGGCACCGTGGCGAGACTTGCCGCGGGCAGCTGGACTAAGTCAAAAAGTGGCCACACGAACGCGGGCCAAGAACATGAGCACCTTCGCTAGAGGCACACGGCCGCATGGAGGTATCCAAACGAAAAGACATTCCAAAGTGAAGTGCCCAAAGGTTAAGAACATAAGGGTACCAATCCCAAACTAAGGCTGTTCTTAAACCTCGTGACAACTGTACCACAACACGTCTTTGTCGGCAACGATAGCGGTCACGAACCCGTTCAAGCAGCCGGATGGTGTAAAAGCGCGACTACTGTGTAACACTAGGTGGAAGTCGTGCGCGAGGGCGCGATTTCGGAATGACTTGTGAGGAAGTGTCAGGCGGGAGCCGTTGAACTCTCACTTCTGAAGAATAACTACTGTTGGTCCCCCTCCACCGGTGCATATTGTTTTTTCGGTAATCAAAGTGTGCCCCTCGACGCTCGCACCCTGTTTTTTGACAGGGAAAGTCTTGATGCTCAAACTGGGCCCCTAGCCCCCAGACTACAACAACGACAACAACGACGGCTCCCGCCGGAGACTTCCTCACAATTTAGCCAGGACCCCCGCTCCCGCCCGAGACTTCCTCGCATTTGATTCAGAAATCGCGCTCTCGCTTGGGGCTTCCTTACAATTTATTCAGGAATCGCTCTCCCGGCGCTCTGGAGACGCGCCCTCGTTGGAGACTTGTTTCCAATCTACTGAAGAATAGCGCCCTTGCGTTGGAATTTCTTGCACTTTGCTCAAGCGCCGCGCTCTCGACACCCAGGCACCCAGGAGTCGCGCCCGTTGTGGCCCTATGTGCATGCCCTTCGTGGCCCCGCTGTCGCCGTTTGTGGCCCCCTCACTGTCCTACGTGGCCCAGTTGCTACCCTCAGTGGCCCCATCGTTGCCTTCTGTGGCTCCGCATTATCTGCCTTTCGTGGCCCCCGCTCGTTCGCGCTCTTCGTGGCCCCATACGCATTCCCTTCGTGTCCCCGCTGTCGCCCTTCGAGGCCTACTTCGTGTCCTTCGTGGCCCTGCTGTCGTTCTCTCTCGCTCTCGCTTTCGCTCGTCGTCGCCGTCGTCGTCGTCGTCGCCGTCGTCGTCGACGTCGTGGTCGGTCCCCTGTCCGTCCCTTTTGGGGTCGGGTCGATTGTCCGCGGCCGCCCCGCCGATCAGCGCTGCCGCTGGCCAGGCCGACGGTCCGCGGCCACCCCGCCGCTTGCCGGGGCCCGGCCTGCAGGGAAGAAAGGTATACCCCCCAAAAGGGGTTCGATCGAAGACGAAGAGGGCGGGTATCGAGGGTTTGGGAAATACGCGTCATTGGAAACTCGAGCAGATAAGGGCGAACAGTCTTAAAATGATCGTTGCTGTTCTTGTACACTGGGGGCCTACAACACAGTTTGGTGGCACCTCACTTTCCATTGTAAAACAACAGGGTGCGCGCCCCGAGAAGCATTTCAATTGAAAAACACAATGCCCCGAAGGGGGGGATCAACAACAATCATTTTTGAGAAATGAAACGTCAACACCAACAACAAAAACATCGACAGCAATAACAACAGCAACAACAACCATAGTAATAACATCAACATCACAAATAGCAACAATACTCAGTTTAAGACTGTTTGCTCTATCCGCTCGCGTGCCCTTCAATACGTATATCCCAAACCCTCGATGTCGCCCCCTTCGTCTTCGATCGTACCCCCTTGGGTATATATATATATGTATGTATATGTATATGGACACATCTGAGTAGATATACAGTTATACACATATACACACTCTCCAAATATGTGTATATAGATAGATCGGTCTAACCTGCAACGTGTATTTCGTGCAGCCCTTGAGGCAGTGGAAAAGAGGACGGATGGAAAGAATGGACAAGGGGGAAGGAGGAGGGTGGAGCACGAGAGAGAGTAGCAGGGGGGGGGGGGCTAGGAGCAAAAAACACGTGGCAGAACCAGACGGGCAGATCGGGCGGATAGACCCTAACGGGCGGGTCGGGAAAAAAGGCCCAGGCGGCCAGGTCGAGCAGGCGGGTTGCTGAAGCGTGCGTCTTGCTTGAGTCGCGAGGAGGTCTCGAGCGGTAGCGCGATTCCCAAATACATCTAAATGAACTCCACAGCGAGAGCGTGATTCCCGAGTGTCAAGGCCGCGGCGCCCGTTTGAATAAATTGCGAGGAAGTCCCACCCAAGAGCGCGATGTTGGCATACATTGTGAGGAGGTCCCGCACGAGAGCGCGATTTGGAAATAAATTGTGAAGAAGAATCAGGCGGGAGCCGTTGTTGTTGTTGCAAATCGGGGGCAAACAACCGAACCCTGAGACTCAAGACGTTCCCTGACAAAGAAAAACTGGGTGCGAGCCCCAGGAGGAGCACTTCAATTGAAAAAACACAATGTGCCCTGGAGGGGAGGATCATCAATAATTATGATTGCCCTTTCGGGGGGAATATCTTCCTTGCCGGCCACAGACTGAAGTGCGAGGAACTCTCCAGCGAGAGCGCCGTTCCTGAATTCGGGGGCCTCTCTGGCCAGGCCAGGGGCTCTCAGAATACATGTTGAGAAATATCGAACGCGAAAACTTGTCGCCGTGTCTGGGCCTCCACCAGCCTGCCTGAATTACGGAAACAGCTCGAGCGAGAGCGCCACTCTTGAGATCGGGGGCCTCTCTGGCAAAGGCCTCTGCGAATACATCTTGAGGAAGTATCGAACGAGAGCCCTTGTCCTCTTAGTTGGGCCTCCACCAATTTGACTGAATCGCGACAAAGTCTCGAGCGAGAGCGCCGTTCCTGAGTTCGGGGGCCTTCCTGGCCAGGGGCTCTCGGAGTAAATCGTGAGGAAGTATCGAGCAGGAGCCCTTGTCGTGGCTGGGCCTCCGCCAACTTAATTGAATTACGAAGAAGTGTCGAGCGAGAGCGCCGTTCCTGAGTTTGGGGGGCCCTTCTGGCCAGGGTGTCTCGGGGTAAGTTGTGAGGAAGTATCGAGCGGGAGCCGTTGTTGTCGTAGCTGGGCCTCCAAGGGCCCACATCTAAGCTCAAACCAACGCTCGAGTGGGAGCCTCGCTTTCAATGAAAATGAAGCCGGCGTGGAGGCGAGAGCGCGCGGAACCGTGTCCGGAGATCAACAATAACTATTCCTTCCAAGTGAGTTTTCAACAACAACAAAGACAGGGACCTTCCCTGGGCCCCGGCGCTCGGGCTCCTCCAGAGATCTCCTCCGGGGGGGGCAGGAATCGTCCCCGGGCCACAGGGTCCCCAACACCCCCCCCCCAACAACAACAACAACAACAACAACAACAACAACAACAACAACAACAACAACAACAACGGCCGGAATGAATTTAAAGAAGCCTGAGGAGTCCCTCAGGACTCTGGTGCTGCATCGGAATGGTGACTTACGTGTGCGCGCTAGAGAAGCGAGGAATCGATTGAAACCCTACAGGGATTCTGTAGAAACCCTACATGGATTCTACAGAAGTCCTATAAGGATCCTACAGAAACCCTACGAAGATCCTACAGAAACCCTACACGGATCCTATAGAAACCCTAGAAGGATCCTACAGAAACCATTTCAGGTTCCTACAGAAACCCTATAAGGATCCTCCTCCTCAATCCTACCGGCTATCATGGGATCCCTACGAGGACCCTACCAGCTGCAATAAGATCCTTATAAGGATCCTACAAGCTGCAGTAAAATCCCTACATGGGTCCTACCAGCTGACATAGGATCCTAATCGGGATCCTACCAGCTGCACTAAGATCCCTATAAGGAACCTACCAGCTGTGATAGGATCCCTATAGCTATCCTACCAATTGTAACGGGACTCCATATAGGGATCCTACCAGCTGTAATAGGATCCCTACAGAGGCCCTACCAGCTGTCATCGGATCCGTATACGGATCCTACCAGCTGCTACGGGATCGCTATAGGGATCCTACCAGCTGCCATGAGATCTCTATAGGGATCCTACCAGCTGTAATAGGATCGTTATAGGGATCCGACCAGCTGCAATAGGATCCTCATCGGGATCCTACCAGCTGTCATAGGATCCCTGCAGGGATCCTACCAGCTGTAATCAGAGCCCTGTAAGAACCCTACCAGCTGCAATCGGATTCCTATAAGAATCCGACCAGCTGCAATAAGATCTTTATAGGGTTTCTACCAGCTGCGACAAGATCCCTACAGGGATCCTACCACGTGCAAGAGGATCCGTACGGGGATCCGACCAGCTGTCACAGGATCACTACAGGGATCCTCCCTGCTGTAATATAATCCTTATAGAGATCCTACCAGCTGTAATAGGATCCTTACAGGGACCGTACCAGCTGTAATCGGATCCCTATAGTGATCCGACCAGCTGCACTCGGATTTTTATAAAGATGCTACCAGCTGTGACAGGATCCCTCTCGGAATCCTACCAAGTGTAACAGGACCCCCATAGGGGTCCGACCAGCTGTAATAAGATCCTTATAGGGGTCCGACCAGCTGCATAGGATCCATATAGGGATTCTACCAGCTGTAAACCAAGTGCGAGCC